TATGGGTCACGATAAATACCTCCTAAAATTCAAAAAAGTTTAAAAGTATGAATTGAGAATTTATAAAATACCAGCCCATGATTCGTTGATAAGTTCATAGCCAACAACATTTGAAAAATTTTGAAATTCAGTGGCAACTTTGACCCAAAATTCTTTCAGCTCATCCAAAAGACCTTAAAGGAAAATCCGTCAAAGTTGCATCATTCCTGACACATAAAATTACCATTTTTGTTGTCATAAATCTGCTAGAACATTGCACTAGTTGCTTCAGTTGGATAATACTCAGCCCAAGCATGCTTAGCACAATCCTATAAGAGACCATACATTCAGAATAAAACCTTACAGTTGATTCAGAATAAAATAATAATTATTTACTAACCTCTGATGTTGGATGGCCTGTTACATTATCAACTATGTATCGACGAGATAATGGCTCTGGAAAATTCTTAGCAACTATATGGAATACAGTAATAGCTTTAATCATTAATCCAATAATGATACCTTCTGGATCAATGGTCCAATCTGGAACCCCTTCTCCACAAAATCTTGCCAATAGTACATCTTGATGCATGTCAAGCAATATGTTAATGCTGTAGTTAGCTGCCCTATTTTATAAAGTATTAAAACTGACACACATACATATGTACTACTCTTACTTACTTGTTAACTATATCTTTGGCAATGCTGAAATACGTTTCATTGAACTGGTCTTTGACAGGCTCAGCTCCTGGCCACATCACTCCAAGCCTACACAACATGTACATAATAATTGGTACCACTAATAGAACCATCCCCCTACTTTGCTAATTGCTGTACAATTGTCTATACATTATACAGCATACTGAATACATCACTAAGCTAACATGACATTGTTAACACAGTTACCTATACTCTTCTGGGACATTCATTCTCATTAGAAGGACTGACACAAAGTACATACCTTATAATGATACAATCAAGGTATGTATCAATGCTACTGTATGTACTGACTACTGACATGCCATAACTTCTGCTAGACATAAGACAATAGCATTCGAAGACTTGCTGCTTGCAATGGCATAGAAAAACTACAAAAAGGTCTCAATAAAAAGTATATGAGATAATAATAGCTGTACTTTAGTGAGAGTGATTAGTAGACCTCTTATTGATGTAATGACAATAATACCAACTAATATGAAAGAAACATGTTGAGACCAAAATAAAACCTAATTAGTACCACAAAAAATGACAAAATAATTTATAAATAAGACAACTCACATCAACTTTTAATTCAAGCTAGTTGACAATAATAGACAAGCCTCTAGTAACAGGGTCTGATGGGAAAAGCATATACAAAAGCAAATAATATATCAGTTATCGATACATAGTGTGACATAACAACTTTTCCAACCCTGGAAATTACTAATGTTGCTTTGTATTATTACATTGGACATGTTAATTCATGCATATGTTTCAATG